TATGTACACAAAGCACCGCTAATTAGTTCGAGGCGCTACACATCGACATTACTATCATTTACACAGTGAACATGTGTGGGTAATTTCATATTAATAGATATGTATAGAAACATTCGTTCTATCACACACATCTTGGTATTACATATCATTTTTGTGTCGGTATACGTAATATTTTAGTAAATAAGTTTAAATAAAAACGAGGGTAAAGATAAAAATACTCATAACAAACTTTGAATAAATCGAAATCAAAAATAATGAACGATCGAGCAATACAATACTTATATAAATATAGTGCATTCTCATTGTATTTTTATGTTACTGAATGATATACAATATTTCGATGTTCTCATCTACGGCGCGCTTGGCGCAATGGTTATCGCCTCCAGTGGTCAAGTAAAGTGCCACCGGATCGATTCCAGCATTCACATGTTGTTTTAGTATTAATTAATCAAATATTTGAAATGTGAAATTAGAAACAATTAAATCTTTTCTTTTTTTCCTATCCTATTTTTCTAAATCTTATGTTAATTTTAATAGTAAATACTTTAGATTTATTTATACCTATAATATCCTTTATTTATATTTTAGTTCTAGTTATTTATTATTTAGAATAATTTAGAATGATTGGAAGAACTTTAAAGTTAACATGTGGTATATAATTAATTATTAGATATAAATATTGAATATAAAACCACATATTTGTATAATTAATAAATTAATTTTAATAAAAAATAGTATTGTTTTATTTACCGACTGATTTGCTTCTTTTATAGCCTGATATTTATATTATATGACAAAAAACAAAAAAAAAATAAATAAGAAAAACAACAAGGTAAAATAAAAAAAAACTTTTAGCTGGAATAGAACCCACATCATCATTGATCCTTGAAAGACGATAAAAGCGTACTCATTAACCAATCGACCACGAGCACTACGATAATTACAGTGAAAATGTCGGGTCATATCAATGATTGTAAATAGTTTTAACCTTACCCATGCATTAAATTATAAAAATACGTATACCGACACAAGAATGAAAATACCAATGTGAACGTGGTGGACGAATATTTTTATACACAGTAATATGAAATTACCCACACATGTACATTGTGTAAATGACAGTAGTGTCGATGTGAGCGTTACGAACTAATTAGCGGTGCTTTATGTACATACATTTTATACGTAGAAATGACGTTTTAGCCCGTACTCCTAAACTTTGATTAGTTTTATCTAAGTATTATTTCATTATACGACAAAATAAAAAATACGTGTCTAATATTTTTTCATTAGGTACCTACCTAACTTACGGACTAATTAAATTTTTAGTTTTCATACCCCGTCATCATCCCAATTCCGCATATCCGACAAAATGTAGCTAAATTACCTAAAAATCGCGGGTTACTCACGTGAATATACTGAGAAAAGCTCTACTAGTTTCGAACCACAGAGGGGTAGGTATTACTCATGAGCAGTGTGCGCGGTCGCAGCGATGTCGCACAGCCTACTGTAATTGTAGATAATTCAAGTTTTCGCCGAAAAATTCTGCAAAATCTTAATTGGCTGCCACCTACTCATTTTTAATACTATGTTTATTGAAGTGTGGGAGAGCCATGCACCACAACACCAAAAGATATCGCGGAAAACTTTAGCGGAACTTGGAATGGGGCGTACCTTATTCTAGCTTACCAGTAAGTGTGGGAGAGCCATGCTTCGGCACGAATGGCCGGCTCGACAGGAGTGATACCACGGCCGAGCAGAAGACCATAGTGAAAAAACTCTTGCGTTGTGTTTCGTCGCGTAAGTGAGGTTGCCGGAGGCCCAATTATCCCCACCTCCCTTCTCCAATTCCTGAATCCCCAACAATCCTCAAACTCCTAATCCCCAAAAGGCCGGTAACGCAATTCTAACGCCTCTGGTGTTCCGTGTGTCCATGGGCGACGCCGATTGCTTACCACCGGTGATCCATCTGCTCGTTTACTGGCTAATCCCATAAAAAGAAAGTAAATATGAGTTTCAAATTCATTTACATAACATAACATTACGCCTTTTATCCCCGAAGGGGTAGGCAGAGGTGTACATTATGCCACTGTACAATGTAACACCCACTTTTCACTATTTATGTTATGAGTTCCATGTAATAGGGGGTGAGCCTATTGCCATATACCGGGCACATTTCCAGACTCCGTGCTACTACTGGGAATTCAAATTCATTGAATGAATATAACAATCCCTGACGACGTAAAATCTTTAAAACTATAATATTTAGTATGTAAATGTACCTACATTCCGCCAAGTCCCTCAGTAAGCAGGTAACAATATAAAGATTGATTCAGTACAGAGACAGTAACCATTGGTTGTCTACTGAGTCCACGAATGGTTACACAAGATATGACTTCGGTACAAAGCATACAATTTAATATAACTATAGCTACTGTCTCTGTACTGAATCAATGTTTATTTTATTACCTGCATACTAAATAATTATTCTAGCATACGGTACCTATAGAAGAACATGGTAATTGTGTACCATGTATTGGGTCCATTAAACTGTCAAACACCAAGCGGTCACCGGTGACCGCAACCTATTGTTCTATAATTGTGTCTATATTGACGAAAAATAGTAAGATTTTGCTGATTTTTTTTTAAGTTTTGATTGCCTCGTTGACTCAGTTGTCGCAAGTGCGACTGCCATGCAAAGGGTCTTGGGTTCGATTCCCGGGTCGGGCAAAGTATTACTGGGTTTTAAAAAAATCTCAGTATTAGCACAGAGTCTGGAAATGAGCCCGGTATATGGCAATAGGCTCACCCCCTATTACATGGGACTCATAACATAAATAGTGAAAAGTAGGTGTTACATTGTACAATGGCATTAAATGGCGTAATGTGCACCTCTGCCTACCTCTTCGGGGATAAAAGGCATTATGTTTTTAAGCTTTAATCCAGCGAAAGTCTATACGGGTAAAATAAGACAAATATGAATTAGATTGTACCCACATGCGTCATTTTAATCAGAAATATATCAAAATATTTTTATTTACAATACAGATATA